TGAATAAACAAAAAACAAATCCCCACTAGATGGAGTGACGACCTGGTAATAGAAGCAGGAAGTTGATGGATGCAGGTGGCTCAGGGTCATGCTATGTGGCATGTATTGGAGAGGTCTATTTTCAGCATTGGACTTGTGAAAATGCTGTAATGGTGTTGATGATTAAATAAAAGACATATTGATGATTAAAAAGAAGTTCTTCTACATAAATCTCGCTCTTTTTTGATGAAACGTTTGGCAGGCAATTGAAGTTTTCGTCGTGATCGAGATCGTGCAGGAGAACATCGTCGTAATCATCAATAATTCGTACCATATGTAGATGCAGTATTGAATCACCTATAATTAGAACATTCAAAAATTGTCGCTGTTGAAGTCAGGCAGGAGAAAAGGACTAACTAACTGACAAATAAAGTATTTAACCTTAGACTGTTAATTCTCATGCAAACGTTAACTAGCTCTGAAAGGCATCTGAGTCATTCGCGAAGGAATGCGTGTACCCTGGTCATTTCATAGAACTGTTAGATATTGTTTAACTTGACTCATCTGACTATTTATTTATTATCTTTGTATTTATTTAACCCGGGGTCATGTTACGGTACCTATATGTTAAATTTAAGACAGTAAATTGACTTAGTTTTCTTTTAAAATTTTAATTTCAATACGTTACGATGTATTGTAACACTCTACGGTTACAACCCTATTATTTTGGTTTTATTATATTGATTTTTATGCGTGCTTTACCACGTTTTAGCGTCGACCGGGGAAGTACCATTTGCTTAATTAACTGAGTGATTAATTAGTTAAATAGTTGTATTACATATGTGAAATTGTAAACATAAAACAGCACAAACATATATATGTGTACTTTTTCAAGCATAACAATATGGAATAGAGAAAGGCAGACAGCTAAAGCGTTTTATTTTCTACGATTTTTTTAATTATAGATGATGGGCAAATGAGCATGCGACTCGCCTGATGATAAGTGACTACCGCCACCCATTAATAATCGTAACACCAGTGAATTTGCAGGTGCATTGGCAGCCTTTTCGAATGGAGTAAGCTTGCTCTTTTCTTGAAGGTCCCTAAGTCGTATCGGTTCGGAAAAATTGCCGGTGGTAAACAATTCCACAGAGAAGTTGTACGAGGGAGAAAACTCCTAGTAAAACACACAGTGGTGGACCGCCAAGCTTCGAGATGGTGAGGTTGGTGTCGTAAATTTGACGCGGTATGCGTTCGTGAAATTTGGCGGCTGGAACTAATCCGAACATTTCTCAGAACACTCCCCATGTTAGATGCGATAAAAAACGCAAAGGGATGCAATATCCCTACGCAGGGTCTGTGAATCGAGCCGATCAGAGAGAACTCGGTCGTCGACGATTCGAACCGCTCTGGGCCCGGATGCGGTCAAGTGGAAGGAGCTGGCACTGGGGTGCTCCGGCTCGGAGACGAGAACAGTATTCCATGTGAGGCCAAACTTATGCTTTGTAAAGTTGCAACCATGTGCCAGCATGAAATAGGTACTCTCTCGCTCTGCTGAGCACGCTAAGTTTTTTAGATGCCAATTTTACCTCCAAGTGACTACGAAACTGCACACTATTCGATGTGTCGACGCCGAGGATTACGATGCTAGCTGAGAATTCAATAAGAAGTATTTTTTTTACAATTTAATAAATTTGCTAAAGTTATTTTCTTCTTTTATATTTGAAGGCAGTTTGTTTTAAAATTTTGTAGATATTGAATATTAGAATTAGTAGCACTAAATTAGATTTCGAAATAAGCAGGTGCATTTTATAGCGTATTTTTTTTATACAATAAGGTAATAAATGAGCTTGGTGGTAAGTGGATGTTGTGGCCCATAGACAACTAAATTTAACCTCGATTAAGAATCAAAGCGTAGATGCGTTGTCACCCCTGAGGACTAAGATGTAATGCCTCGTTTCCAGTAAAATATCTCCGGATCTCCACACTCACCATACAAAACACAGCAGTATTAAGCTGCTATTTTACACTGGTATTCTGTGAGAGCGTGATCCTTCCCCGGTTTAACCAACCCATTCATGCTACAACAATTTAAAGCTACAGCTTGGCTCTACCACGTATAGATATTGGTTTATAAATATAGAATTTGACAATAACTTGACAAAAATGGGTGCGTTTGGCAGAAAAAAGCGCTAGCAAGCGCTTGTAAACAAAATGGCGATCGTAAGCGGTAAGCGCTGTCAAATCGTAAGTAGCTATTTTCCTCTAGGAGACGATATTAGTTTTAACCGGGGAACCTAACCTAATTTAAATATTTGTTTGTAAAGTATTCATATTAAAAACTTACCAATCATGAATTTTTAATAACATGTGTATATGTTTATTCAGTCATTATATTACTTAAAACTAAAATATTGCACAAAACAACTTATAAACTCTACTTCAAAACAAACAAATTAAATAAGCAAAATGGCGGATTGTGTCAGCGCTACTGAAGTAGCAATCGTGTCCTGGCCGAAAACTATTTCAGCGCTTGTAAGCGCTTGCTAGCGCTTTTTTCTGCCAAACGCACCCAATATGTATGTATCGATACCGTCCCATGGGTGTGGTTAAAGGCGACGGTGGAAACATATGTACCAGGAGATGGGCGGCAGTGTCTTCCCAATCTATCCATCCATACATTCATTACAGTCTAAAACAGTCTACTGCTGAACATAGATTGCCACATGGGGGCGATTTAGCCATTGTTGCCACGCTTGGCAAGCGGGATGGCAACCGCAGTTCTTTAATATTTCGAGTTGCTGACGATATGGGGTGGAAAGGTCCAATCATCATCATCATCATCATCATTACAGCCCTTGACAAGTCCACTGCTGAACATAGGCCTCCCCCAAGCAATGCCACAAAGCACGTTCCTGAGCCGCCTGCATCCATCGACTTCCCGCATGTCTCACCAAGTCGTCACTCCATCTAGTGGGGGGTCGCCCTACACTACGCCTACCGGTACGAGGCTGCCACTCGAGAACCTTTCTTCCCCATCGGTTATCGGTTCTTCGAGCTATATGGCCGGCCCATTGCCACTTCAGCTTACTAATCCGTTGGGCTATGTCAGTCACTCTGGTTTTACTGCGGATATCCTCATTTCTGAGTCTATCACGCAGAGAAACTCCGAGCATAGCCCTCTCCATAGCTCGCTGAGCGACCTTGAGCGTCCTCATACGGCCAGCAGTGCAGGGCCACGTCTCTGATCCGTAAGACATCACTGGCAACACACACTGGTTGTATACTTTAGTTTTCAGAGATTGAGGTATACATGACGAGAAGATGTGTCGAAATTTCCCGAACGCTGCCCAGCCGAGTTGAATCCAATCCAATCCGGTTCCATACCAGATAAAAAATACTGCGGTTACCAACCCGCTTGACACGCGTGACAACTATGACAAATGTGAACAAGCTATGGGGGAGGCCAATGTTAGCAGTGAACTTTTGATATGCTGTGACGGTATCGGCAGGTCTTTAGTCATGCATTAATATCTCTAATAAGTCTGTAGTTCGGTTTAAAGATCTTTATTTACTCATTAAGACTAATGTCACTTACATGAGTACATTCATACAATTTGAAATAAACTACACAGAACAATATAATTAAATAGTAAACAATTAGACGTAATAGCGATGTTTCAAGTATTGATAATATAAGACGGTGGTCCAAGTTATATAATGTCTTGTTTTTTAATGTGGTCGAATAATTTTTTCGTGAAAATATTGAGTGATCTTGCATCTTTTACAGTTGATCAGTCAGTTCAGATCAGTTCATATCAGAAGTCAGATCAGATCAGACAGATCAGTAGTTCAGTCGAACAAGTCATTATAGGATCAATATATTACACAATCACTAACAAACGGAATAGCTAAGGTCAAAGCTCTCTTGGAGGTGTATACAATTTAAGCTTCTAAGTCAACGCTAAAAGATTTTTTTTGTAGAATAAGGGTGACAAACGAGCACACAGTCTACCTGATGGTAAGTGGATGCTGTGGCCCATAGACATCTATATTTATTCTTGAATAAGAATAAAAACGCAGATGCTATTTGTTACCCCTAAGGACTAAGATGAAATGCCTCGTTTCCAGTAAAAAAGGGTCTCCGGATCACTCACCGTACGACACAACTGTGATCAAGAGAACAAACCTCAATATTCTTCTAAAAGTATTTTAATACCAACTAATGGTTCTAAGGAAACAAAAGGACAAGATGTAGCAAATAAACCCCAAAATGAAAACTCGGTACATATACAGTTATTTTTGAGTTTTTTTTTATATACATAGTTAATTAGCCAGTTATCGTGCATAAAACACATGGTGTACATGTTTAATATCTACAATATCGCATTTGTTTTAAAATTGTTATTCCTTTTTATTTATGTACACAAATAAATACTTGCAGTTTTGCTATTTAAAAAAGCTAATAATAATATTTATTTTAGGTTAATAAAAAGGGGCGAAAACGAAAAGCCACCAGTGGATTGCCTTTTAGAAAAGTTAAAACCAAGGTAATTCAAATATGATAAATATGGGCTCATAAAATTTGAATCTTAGAAATGTAAAACAAAGCTATTATTTTTTTATTTTAGCGCCAGCCGTCCGCACGTGAAAAGCGTGATTGCTTCGACTTCAATGTAGAACGTGAAAAAATGTGTAGTAAAAAAGAGGATTTTGATTTAGAGGGACGTAGAATTGTCTCTATACGATACTTTTTACTTTCTCTGCAAGCAGTTGCTGATCACAGTCATGAATCATTTGGATGTAGATTTTCAAATTTGAAATGCATCGGTGAGACCAGAAAAGGCTTTATTTCAACGTTGTGCTTGAAATGTCAATTATGTAACGCAGAATTTAACATAAGCACCGATGATCCGAATGCTAATTACAATGTTAATTATGGTATTGTCGCGGGCACGATCAGTATTGGTTGTGGTCTCGAAAATTTGAACGAACTAGCGGCAAACACTGATATACCCGCTATGTCAAAACAATTGTACAATAACACAAGCCAAGTTGTTTATGACTGGTTTCATAAACCAGCGGATCAAGTAATGCGGGAGGTAGGAAAAGAGGAAGCACGACACGAAAAAGAAATTGGAAGCGTTGACAGCGATGGAAATCCCATGATAACGGTAATTGCCGATGGCTGTTGGTCAAAAAGATCATTTCGTAATAATTATGCTGCTTCTTCTGGTGCAGCAGCAATTATTGGTGCCTATACTGGAAAACTGTTATACTTAGGAACCAAAAATAAATACTGTATGATATGTGCTCGTGCAGCTAATAACAAAACCGAGTGTAAAGAACATATATGCTACAAAAATTTCACAGGAAGCTCATCCAGTATGGAGTCGGCTGCGTTGGTTGAAGGCTTTAAAACTTCACTGGATATGCATGGTTTGATATATGTCAAACTAATTTCGGATGGGGATTCAAGCACTATAAAAAAATGTTGTGTAGCAATCCCTATAAAAATGTAAAAGTTGAAAAGATCGAATGTAGAAATCACCTATTAAGAAATTTTTGTACTAAAATGCGCCTTCTTATAAAAGATACTCAAATCGCTCTTCAACAAAGAAAACTTTTTACAGAGACAAAAATAATAAAATTGAGAAGATACATTGTACGTGCAATAAAGTTGAGAAAACATGCAGAAGATTCTCAAAACATAAAGATATCCAATCTAAACGCAGATATTTACAATGCCTTACACCACGCCTTAGGAAACCATACTAACTGTGTAGATCAGATATGTCCTGCAACTGACAAACTCGATATAAACGTTGCACAAAATTTACTAAACACCGCTCTGTGGTTAAAAATGAGCCAACCCATTTCATATTTGGCGTCAAACGCCAAAAAGCCTAATTTTTGATGTGGATAGCAACATAGCTGAAACATTTAACTCCGTAATAGCAAAATATGTTGGTGGTAAGAGGATAAATTACACATTGAGAAACTCTTATCAAGAGAGATGTTCAGCTGCTGCCATTTCATTTAATACAAAAAAACCAATCACTGCAGTCAACAGGTTTATATTTAATAAAACATCGGATAAATATGTGAGAATATACGAAACACACAAACATAAAAAAAATATACTAGACAGTTTAGAAAAAAGTTTCGCGCTGCTTCAAAAGTGAACGACCCAGATTATGGTGCATACGCTCAACGCCCGGACATGTCCGAGGAAGTATTTGAGGTTGCAAAACAACACTTTTTAAAACAATTAGAAGTGAATATAGAAGAACGAGACAATATTCAAAAAAACACTTTGCAACAGAGCCATAGTCAAGATTGGATTGAGCAAAGAAAAAGAGACTGACAGCATCAATATTTGGAAAAATTTGTAAAAGAAAAAATAATATCAGCTGTGCGCCACTAGTACAAGCAATAGTTAGCTCAAAAGACTTATCGTACATATCATCTACTGTATACGGAAAAGCAAATGAGGAAAAAGCATTACTGCAGCTGTCCCGTCAGGAAAAAATAAACATTTCAAAATGTGGACTTTTTGTTCACAAGACGTATTTTTTTTGGCTGCTACTCCTGACGGCAATTTCAAGGATGAAAAAGGAAAAACAGGCATCGTGGAGGTTAATGTCCTTTTGCTGCCAAAGATATGCACCCTGAAGACGCCATTAAAGAAAAAAAATAACCTTTTGGAAATACGACAAAAAGAATATATTCAAAGTAAATAAAAACCACAGCTATTACTACCAAATTCAAGGTCAACTTAATATAACGGAACAAAATATTTGCGTGTTTGCAGTTTGGACTAGTGAACATCAACCGATGAAAGTAGAATATATAGCAAGGGATAAAGAGTTTTGGGAAACAAAAATGCTGCCCCCCTTTGACAAAGTTTTACCACAGTTGTCTGCTACCAGAACTAATTGAACGTTCTATGCCGATAAAAGACCCACCATTTATAACAGAAGCAACAGAAAATAAAAAGCATAAAATATCCCCAAAAAGTTAACCCCTACACCATACACAAAATACTCGAAAAAACTTTCTTATTTTTGATCTTGTCACCAACTAAAAAAAATAAATATTTGTGTATTCAGTTATTCTTTTTTTTGAATTTTTTATCGATTGCCTTCTAAATTACTTCGCTATACGATTTTTCTTTAAAAAAAAAACAGGTATACGCGCTATTTGTATGTTCAGTTTGTATAAAAAAATCATATACATCCGATTAGACGGGAGGAGTTGGAATCATGGAGCTGAACCACATTGCATACAAAAAAAAATTTAATTAAAAAATTTACTTATTCGTAATACAAAATGTACAAGGTAGAGTCGTAATTTGTATGAATAAAAACAAAAAGCAGTATTTTTTTCCTTCGGTTGTATTTACCCTTTTTAAACTTACAACCCGTATAAATACGACTAAAACGACATATATAAAAGGGTAAAAAATTATACTACCACAACAAAAGTAAAAGGAATATTTTGGAAAAATATTAATAAGTTATATATTTAATGAAATAGAGCAACTTCGAGCGCCCCCTCTAATGGCTGGAAATGTAAAACAGCACAGCTAGACGGAAGCCTTAAGCTGCTATTTTACGCTGGTATTCTATGAGAGCGTGGTCCTTCTCCGGTCTAGCCGACCCATTTGTGCTACAACCATAATATAGCTGTAGCGTGGTTCTACCACGTATAAAGATACGGTCATTTATGTTAATGTCACGTATTTTGATACTCGTAAACTCATAAAAACCTGTAAGGTGCCTCCCGGTGACCTACAATCATAAAATTTTGCCAGGAGGGGAGATTTTGAGAAGCCTGTATCCAGTAGTGGACTTTTGAAGGTTGATGAGAAGAAGTAGAACATACAATACCCACACATACCAACGCCTTAGATTAACCGGAACTGTTGATTTAACCGGAAAGTGCCGACGCAGTTAACGTATGACTCAAAGTGATTTATACGCTTTTCTTCCAATCCTATTCAATAATGACAATGTGACATATCAATAAATCATGATCAGTTACATGTAATAGATATAAAACAATCATGAAGTCCGTTTAAATTCCATTCCGTCATAAACCTATTGATTATTTATAAATAATTTATAATTTATTGCAAACCATATTTGGAAATTACTTCCTAGAATCAATAATTCTGACATATCAATCGTGATTATCTTTATCAATTTACATATATACACACATACATACATACACATATACTTCCTAGTTTGCCGAATAATGGCAGTGTGAGAAAATGTGGACAGTTTAATGATTTATTTGGACGAAGAATATAAACAAAGAAAGACAAAGTATTTTATATAGGTCCAACACTGGGCACAGATCTACTCTCATTTCTGAGAGAGAGAGAGAGAGAGAGATAGATAGAGAGAAGGTATAGTTATCCATGTCTCTATATTTTTTTAATTTATTATACATGTAAGTTTCCTAACGATGTATTCTTTCACCGCTATGCATGTGATAACCAATGCTTATTCCCTAAGTGGTCACTGTAAAAAGAGGTAACACGTTAGACTGTAAAAGAACTCGTATTTCCTAGCTTTCTTTCAATCTTGTTTCCAATCCCAGCCAGAGCCTTTCTACTAAAGCATAATTTGCTCATCTACCTAATTTCATTTGGTATTTCAATTAATATAGGTTCTTTTAATAATACAATAATCCATTTGTGAACTTTCCTTCAGACTAAGGTTTCATAGAAGGTCGCCGATAACTTATCATGTAATAAATAACTTACAAACTAATTCATTCCTTACCCATTTCTATACAACAGGAAGTAAAACTAATTCCTTTGTGCTTTTTTATAATCCATTGTACTATTGATATTTACAGTACCTATTGTTAATAATTCTAAACGACAGGTATCTTTATATACCTATAAAATTCCGGTATGTATGTGTTGTTTGTTTTTGGTTGCGCGAAACAAACCATCAAAGAGTAAACATGTTACAATATTTTTATCTTTTGTACCCGTATATCATTTATTATAGTTTCTTATATCATTCATTATTTTTACGTCGTATAGCCATGCTCCAGCTATATTGTGGTTGTAGTAGAGATATTATACCAACGCATCTTAATGCTGCTGTAAGGTGGACAGGAGCGTCTTATGCATGCGTTCGTAATTATTTGGCTCAACCGATAATGATGAAATTTTTACGGGGTCACATGACTGATTATTAGATGTAGTTGGACTCCGGCGCTGTTGTTGAGATCCAGAAATCACCCGTGCGAAGCCAGGGCGGCGAAGTTGGGACGATGTGGGTCGTATACACACGTGAATGTCAAATGAAATGATATATACATATTTATCACACATGCTCTACGATGAAGGAATCGTGAGGATGATGCATGTCTTAGAAATAAAATAAAATATTTCAGACATGTGAAGTCCATAAACGCGCATTGAGGCAGTGCGGCGATCTTTTCCTAAATACTTTTTTTAGAAATGAAAGAAGGCCTGTGCCCAAAATGGGGTGTAGTAGGCTGTAACTTCACTGTACATATTTATTACATCCACGGTAAAACAATTAAAATTTGTTTTGTCATAATGTTTTTTTTCAAATCTTGGTTTTCTTCGGTTTCCAAATGAGGTACTTCCGACCATAGAAGAAAAGGCAAAAAAAAAACTTCACAGGTATCGTCTTTTTAGTATTTTTTAGATTATAATACTATAACATCCCAGTGCAAAGTTTTTATCACTTTTTTTTACTTAAAAAGTTGAACTCGAAAAGCTCAGCTTTTTTTTACCACCAGGGCGACGCCACAGAATTAGGCGAAACTTTTGACAGATTTCATAGTCGGGGAAGTTAATTTATTAGGAAAATGTAAGCGTTATTGATTGTATTATACGTAATATTAGTTTTATTTTATATTGATTGGATTAGAAATGAATAAACCTAACTACGGATATTCCTTAAAATAGAAAAATTAAAAAAATACAGAAAAAATATGATAAATATTAAAGAGTAAACCACTAAGACATTCTTTTGTGTATTTATTACTTTATAATTCGATAAATATTTATTTAAAAAGTTTCTGTTTCTTATTATATTCTATTTATTACCTTTTGTACTAAAACCTGTCAATTAAATAACATTGTCAAATATAAAATATCTTCACCTCAGTCCCAACTAGCGACATCTGGTAAATGGGAAATTATTAGCCCTCATTAAACTCTTTAATATGTTTAAATTGCTACCCCTATTAATATACCTTTACTGTACTCTGTGGCTTCCGTATATTAGCGTCAGAGAATCCGTCACCACGAATCGTCTTTTGAGTGTCGTAAGAGATAAACGAGAAAAAGGTTGTTAAGACGTCATGGTCTGTATAGTCTGTTCGCTTAGATACAGTCGTGTGTCGCGCGGCCTTGACAAGCGCCGCATCTTGTCAAAGGCGCCGCCGTGACATTAAAGGTATTAAGTAGGCGTACACCCGCAGGATAATTTGGCATTTTAAAACTAAGTACCGTAGTGAAAGGTTCTCTGCTACGTAACTTGTGTTTATTACTTATATTCGAGTTTTATTAAAATAACCATAAAAATAAAAAAGAATACCATTAGAATATATTGATATATACTATATAAATAGAATATAAGATAAAAATAGTACTTTACTTTATATTTAGAATAGAAAAGCAATTATTTAACAAACACAGTAAAAAATAATAAAATAAAAGCAAAATAATTAGTGCGCCTACAGGTGTACCGACACTATCTTACAGAACAGAACAAACTATAATCGATGGTAGAATTACCCTTTTTTATACATCATTCCCATGTTTGAACTAATCAATATTAATAGGTGTTATATATAAAGGCGTGTATTGGCGGTGTAAAGGTATCCGATACCCAATATCGTCCGGTGGATGCTGTAAGGTGACGGAGGGAACCTGAAGCTGAAGCTGGTTAGCAGCATCTTCCTGATAAGAATTGCTCGTGAAGCCCGCAAGATGGTAACTATGCAAATATCATATGAGCAATATACGCGGAGGCCTTGGACGTTTAATAGGATTTAATGGTGATATTAAGTCTTCCATATATTATCTCATAGTTGCCATAATTGCTAAGCTTGGCCGGCGATTTCACATTTGCATTTTTTATTATTTTGAAATATTTATGGAAGGGAAGCTGTTTAGGAAGACGCTGCTGCTCATTTTCTGACCCTTCAGACCGGAGAGCTAGTATGCTTTTTTTAATAGGAGAGAGGGCGAACGAGCATACGGCTCACCTAATGGTAAGTGACTACCGCCACTCATGAACAATTGTAATACCATGGAAATTGAAGATGCGAAGCGAGCCTTTTTAATAGGAGTAGGCTCTTTTC